AAATAATATACAAGGAAACTCCCATAAGCCTTCAGCTGATTTTTCAGCAGAAACCCTGCAGGCCAGAAGGGAGTGGCATGATATATTTAAAGTGATGAGAGAGAAAATACTACAACCAAAGATACTCTACCCAGCAAGGCTCTCATTCACATTTGAAAAAGAGATCAAAAGCTTTACAGACAAGCAAAAGCTAAAAGAATTCAGCACCACCAAACCAGCTTTACAACAAAGGTTAAAGGAACTTCTCTAGGCAAAAAGAAAAGGCCATAACTAGAAACAAGAAAATTGCAAAATAAAACTAACACAACATTGTAAATCAACTATACTTCAATTAATAAAAATTATGAAATGAAGAAGTTCACTGGTAAAGGCAAACATACAGTAAAGGCAGTAAATCATCTACGCACAAAGCTAGTAGGGAGGTTAAAAGGCAAAAGAAGTAAAATCATATCCGCAATAAGCCGTTCATAGATACCTGAAACAGATGTAAAATACGACATCAAAAACAGTAATCATGGGACTTCCCTGGTGGCACAGTGGTTAAGAATCTGCCTGCCAATGCAGGCGACACGGGTTCGAGCCCTGGTCTGGGAAGATCCCACATGCCACGGAGCAACAAGGCCTGTGCACCACAACTACTGAGCCTGTGCTCTAGAGCCCGCGAGCCACAACTACTGAGCCTGCATGCCACAATATTGAAACCCGTGCGCCTAGAGCCCATGCTCTGCAATAAGAGAAACCATTGCAATGAGAAGCCCACACACCACAACGAAGAGTAGCCCCCGCTCGCTGCAACTAGAGAAAGCCTGTGTGCAGCAATAAGGATCCAACCCAGACAAAGATAAATAAATAAATTAATTAATTAAAAAAACCCAAACAAACAGTAATCATGAAGGGAGGAGAGTACAAATGCAGGGTTTTAAAAATGCATTAGAAATTTGGAGATCAGCAACTTAAAACAATCATATATCATGCCTTCATATATCAATCATGTATCATATCATATATATCATATCTTCTATATCTATAAAAACCTCATGCAACAATAAACCAAAACTCTATAATAGAAATACACACAAAAATGGGAGAAGATATTTGCAAACGAAGCAACTGACAAAGGATTAATCTCCAAAATATACAAGCAGCTCATGCAGCTCAATATCAAAAAAACAAACAACCCAATCCAAAAATGGGCAGAAGATCTAAACAGACATTTCTCCAAAGAAGATGTGCAGATTGCCAACAAACACATGAAAGGATGCTCAACATCACTAATCTTTAGAGAAATGCAAATCAAAACCACAATGAGGTATCACCTCACAACGGTCAGAATGGCTCTCACCAAAAAATCTACAAACAGTAAATTCTGGGGAGGGTGTGGAGAAAATGGACTGTTGGTGGGAATATACAGCCACTATGGAGAACAGTATGGAGGTTCCTTAAAAAACTAAAAATAGAACTAACATATGACCTAGCAATCCCACTACTGGGCATATACCCTGAGAAAACCATAATTCAAAAAGAGTCATGTACCACAATGTTCACTGCAGCTCTACTTAACAATAGCCAGGATATGGAAGCAACCTAAGTGTTCACTGACAGATGAATGGATAAAGAAGGTGTGGTACATATATACAATGGACTATTACTCAGCCATAAAAAGAAATGAAACTGAGTTATTTGTAGTGAGGTGGATGGACCTAGAGTCTGTCATACAGAGTGAAGTAAGTCAGAAAGAGAAAAACAAATACCATATGCTAATGCATATATATATGTAATCTAAAAAAGAAAAATAGTTATGAAGAACCTAGGGGCAGGACAGGAATAAAGACGCAGATGTAGAGAATGGACTTGAGGACATGGGGAGGGGGAAGGGTAAGCTGGGACGAAGTGAGAGAGTGGCATGGACTTATATATAGTACCAAATGTAAAATAGATAGCTAGTGGGAGCAGCCGCATAGCACAGGGAGATCAGCTCAGTGCTTTGTGACCACCTAGAGGCGTGGGGTAGGGAGGGTGGGAGGGAGATGCAAGAGGGAGGAGATATGGGGACATATGTATATGTATAGCTGATTCACTTTGTTATAAAGCAGAAACTAACACACTGTTGTAAAACAATTATACTCCAATAAAGATGTTAAAAAAAAACACAAAAAGAAAAAGGAATCCAAACTTAACACTAAAGATAATCATCAAATCACAAGAGAACAAAGGAAAAGAAAAAAAAGGGAACTACTAAAACAACCCCCAATCAATTAACAAAATGGCAATAAGAACATATATATCAGTAATTACCTTACGTGTAAATGGAACAAATGTTCCAATCAAAAGATACAGAGTGACTGACTGGATGCAAAAAGAAGACCTATATATATGTTGCCTACAAGAGACTCTCTTCAGATCTAAAGACACACATAGAATGAAAGTGAGAGGATGGAAAAAGGTATTCCATGCAAATGGAAATCAAAAGAAAGCCAGAGGAGCAATACTTATATCAAACAAAATCGACTTTAAAATAAAGGCAAGAGACAAAGAAGTACACTACATAATGATGAAAGGATCAATCCAAGAAGAAAATATAACAATTGTAAATATTTATGCAACCAACATAGGAGACCCTAAATATATATAACTAATATTAATATACATAAAAGGAGAAATCAATAGTAACACAAAAATAGTGGGGAACTTTAACACCTCACTTACATCAATGGACAGATTATTCAGACAAAAAATCAATAAGGAAACACTAGCTTAAATGATACATTAGACCAAATGGACTTAATTGACATAGAGCACTATCCAAAAGCAGCCAAATACACATCCCGTTCAAATGCACATGGAAAATTCTCCAGGATAGATCACAGACCAAGAAAACAAGCGTTGGTAAATTTAAGAAAATTGAAATCATATCAAACATCTTTTATGACCACAATGCTATGAGACTAGAAATAAACAAGAAAAAAACTGCAAAAAACACAAACACGTGAAGGCTAAACAATATGTTACTAAACAACCAATGGATGACTGAAGAAATCAAAGAGGAAATAAAAAAATGTCTAGAGACAAATAAAAGAACAGGATAATCTAAAACCTATGGGATGTAGTAAAAGTAGTTCTAAAAGGGAAGTTTACAGTGATAACAAGCTTACCTCAGGAAACAAGAAGAATCTCAATTATAGAACATAACCTTTCACCTAAAAGAACTAGAGAAAGAAGAACAAACAAAACCCAAATTTAGTAGAAGGAAAGAAATCATAAAGATCAGAGCAGAAAGAAATGAATAAAGACTAAAAAAAAAAAAATACAGAATATCAGTGAAACTAAAAGCTGGTTCTTTGAAAAGATAAACAAATGTGATAAACCTTTAGCCGGACTCTTCAATAAAAAATGGGAGAGGGCCCAAATCAATAAAATCAGAGATAAAAAAGCGGTTACAATCAAAACCACAGAAATACAAAGGATTATATGAGACTACTACCGACAACTGTATGTTGTCTTCTAGACAACCTAGAAGAAATGGACAAATTCTTAGAAAGGTACAATCTCCCAAGACTGAACCAGGAAGAAATAGAAAATATGAACAGACCAATTACAAGTAATGAAATTGAATCAGTAATTTAAAAACTCCCAATAAACAAAGTCCAAGACTAGATGGTTCACAGGTGAATTCTACCAAACATTTAGAGTTAACACCTATCCTTTTGCAACTCCTGCAAAACACTGCAGAGGAAGGAGCAGTTTCGAATTCATTCTATGAGGCCAGCATCACCCACCCAGATACCAAAATCAGACAAAGGTATCACACACAAAAAATTACATGCCCCCTCCCAAAAGTTACATGCCAATATCACTGATGAACGTAGGTGCAAAAATCCTCAACAAAATACTGGCAAACTGAATGCAACAATACACTAAAAGGATCCTACAACATGATCAAGTGGAATTTATCCCAGGGATGCAAGGATCTTTCAATATTCACAAAGCAATCAATGTGATACACCACATTAACAAATTGAAGAATAAAAACTATATGATCATCTCAGTAGACGCAGAAAAAGCTTCTGACAGAATTCAACATCGATTTATGATAAAAACTCTCCAGAAAGTGGGCATAGAGGGAACATATTTCAACATAATAAAGGCCATATATGACAAACCCACAGCTAGCGTTATACTCAGTGGTGAAAGCTGAAAGCATTTCCTCTAAGATCACGAACAAGACAAGGATACCCACTCTCGCCACTTTTATTCAACATAGTATTGGAAATCCTAGCCACAACAATTAGGCAAGTAAAAGAAATAAAAGGAATCAAAATTGGAAAGGATGAAGTAAAATTGTCACTGCTTGCAAATGACATAATACTCTACATAGAAAATTCTAAAGACGCCACCAGAAAACTACTAGAGCTCATCAATGAATTTTCTAAAGTTGCAGGATACAAAATTAATATATAGAAATCTGTTCCATTTCTATACACTAACAAACTATCAGAAAGAGAAATTAAGGAAACAATCCCATTTACCATCACATCAAAAAGTATAAAATACCTAGGAATAAACCTACCTAAGCAGGTAAAAGACCTGTATTCAGAAACCTATAAGACACCGATGAAAGAAATTGAAGATGACACAAACAGATGGAAAGATATACCATGTTTGTGGGATGGTAGAATATTGTTAAAATGACCATACCACCAGGAGATTCCATATTTATGTCTAAAATAATTCCTTAACAATAACCTAGATTCAGTTTATGCATCTCTGTTATTGACGCCTGTTGGAGAAAAGTGTTAGAAATAAAAAGAAGGGTAGCAAGTTGTGTTATCTGGGTTTTTTTTGTTTTGTTTTTTACCAGCACAACGTTAGGTTATATTACATCAAAAAAGTTTTTAATGGTCCCAAATATATATACTCAACAACTAAGCATACACTCAGGAGAAAAAAAAAAATCAAAAACCAAATGAAACAAAAAAATTTATGACACAAATGACCACATCTAGAATTCCACTCAATCTTTAATCAAGTAGGGACAAATCCCCACTTAAAAAAAAAATCTGCAGTTTGAAGGGCAAAGGGAATAGATAAAGAAGAGGAAACTTCATATTCGCCCCTCCCCCAAAGAGGTTTTTCCAAACCTGCTGTAGCTTGACTAAAATGTTCAGAATGTACGATTTTAAAGGCAGGTCTCTTTATACAAAGAAACTGCTGGCATTCTTAACTAGTGAAGAATTAGGGCAGAAAAGCCTATTCTTCTGAGTCTCAAACATGGTCCGAGAAAGCATATTCTGATTGTAGCAACTGACCAGTCAATCCAGAGTTCCACTCTCAAAACCCCTGCCCTGTTGGCTTTTCGTTTCCATTTCCTTCCCTGAGAAAAGGGCAATGTGTGGTCCAAGCTTAGACCTCGAAGGTGTAAGTCTTCCCCCTAAATGTATAATTATCCCCTCCTCCTGCTCCACTGAATTGGCACTTCATGAGCAGAAGTCAAGTGTGCGAGCTGAGCTGTGTCAGTCATTCACAAGAGGCCACTGCTTTGTTATAGATTTTGTAGTGGGGAGGGGTAGAGAACCAGTTTTCTCAACAGGTACTGATCACAGGCAGTTGCCATTATGACTCAAACTTTGCTTTCTTTGACAAAGGGAGCGTGTCTTCCTTGTCTTCATCCTCATCATCATCCTCCTCATCATCAGGATAATCTACCAGACCCACGAGGCCTCCCCTGGTAGTAATAGCTGCCGTCTGAGATGTATTTTCAGGGATGGATCCAGGAGAGCCTGGAGATCCTGGGGATCCAGGTGAGCCTGGAGAACCAGGCAGATTTGTTGCAGGTGACTGGCTGGAGAGGGTAGTCTTTGTTCCACTAGAGAGGGAAAACTTGAAACTTGGGCTCTGCCGACCAGAAAGATTTGTTTTCAGAAGCATCTCCTTTTCCTCACTTTCTTTTAATTTCTTCCTCTCCATGAATTTACTTATTGGATCCATAATGTCATCATCATTCTTAGTTTTGTCAGATGGAGACACGACAGCTTCTCCATCTTCCATGTCATCTTCATCTGTGTTGAACCACATCTCATCTTCATCTTCTGTTGTTCTGGCGTCTCTTCGATATCTATGATTCCTCAAAATGGAACACATACTGTCAAGTTTGGGATTATCTTGCCTTTCTCTTTGTTGTTCAAATCTCAGTTTCAATCCTTTAAATGTTTGTACATAATCTACATCTTCCAATGCTTTCCAGTAAATTTCAATTACATGATCAATTAATGATTTTATGTCTTCCACTCTAATAAATTCAAACATTTCTATTATGGCAGAGTTCATCAGATTGTAGCGGGATCCATTGTTGAGAAATGCTTTGACTACTGGTTCAAACAAAAAACTTTTCATTATATAGCGGTTGTAAAACTCATCTTTTAATCCAATAATCTTTCTCTTAAAACGAAGAGCACATAATGCCAAGAAAGCATGCTTCGAGGCCATAAGAACTAACACTCTCCGGAGAATGTCCTTATTAATAATGTAGTTCTTTATATGGTAGGTATGGTGCTCCACACAAAATGTTAACAATTCCAATACAAGTGCCAACAACTGGGCAGTCTGAAAATCATCTTTGCTAGGTTTGTCTTCTGTTGTATTTGCCAGTAAGGGAGCAGTAAGGACATGCATACAGTGCTTGTAGAAGAAACCCAGAAATTCAGTCTTTTCTGTTTTATTGGCAGTAGCTAACATGTTTTCTGGGTCAACTAATGTTCGAAGGAGGCCCATAAGCTGGACTGCTCCTCCATGTTCAGGGTCTGTATCACAAATCATATGTTCTATAATGAGGTTGATGAGCAAAATATCATCATCATTCTGTTGTGCCTCCTGCATGACAAACTCTCGTACCATGGATGGATTATATTCAACCAAGTATGATAATATATCAGTAGCAGCACTTCGCACCTGTGTATCATCCATGCCAAGGATGACTTCTAAAGCTGGTAATATACCCATGTTTGACAAAGTCTTGAAAAAAGCATCTCTGTTTTGAGGTTGTAGCGTTTGGGAGAATGCACAAAATTCTTTTAAAAAGTTAACCAATTCCTGTCTTTTTTCCTCATCTGTTGCTTCATCTGTTAGCTGTGCAAACAAATCTGTCAGAAATTTTTCATCTTCCTGTAACATACCAACAATTTCTACCTTATTGAAAAAGATAAAAGAGTGAAGTGTTGATAACATATTTTCTTCAAAGACTGAAGGGGTAGGTAGAACCATGTCTTGTATATACTGAACTCTGTATGTCTGATGAATTTTTTGTTTCAGCTCAGGATCTGATATGGGAATCACTTCTTTAAACTTGGCTGTTTTTGTTAGAAATTCCCTATGTTTTCGTGGTTGTGATAAAGCAGGATCATATTCTAAGCATCCAATGACGTCCATTATACATTCCTCAGAGAACATAACTTCAAAAAGAGCAGTATGATTCAAGAGGAAGATGCCTTTGATAATTTCATACAAGTGGTGCAGTCCTTCAATATTTTCCAAATCCTCACACACATGAAAAAGCTCTAAGAGCTTTTTAATGTAATCCTCATTTCCCAGTGCTAGTGCAAGTTTTTCACGACGCAGGGGGGAAGGTAAAGATGATGCCACAAGTTTTGCAATTTCCTCAAGGCGACTTAATTCACAAGATGGCAATTCTAAACCTGGCGATGACATATCATCGAAATGCTCCTCTTCAGACTCATCTACAAGGTCCTGACTGATGTCCACTGATGGGTCCTTTCCTTGAACCTGACATATTTTCTCCCAAATTTCATCACATCCAGCTTTTTCTTGAAAGCTAAGGGCCAAGTCATAATTTTCTGCTTCAGACCACACAATCAAAGTGTCCTGTTGTTTCTGGTATACAGTATTAGGATTTATTTTGGACTCTAAAAGTAGAGAACCGTCGCTCTCGGCCCTGACAAGCAGGGACATGCCCTTCAGCCGCTCCACGTAGCCCGACGACACATGCCCGGTGCCCCGGTCGTCCCACTGCCGGTCCTCGTTGAGTGTGTAAACCTTCACCCGCCGCCGGGTGTCGGTCATCGTGCCGCCCGGGGGCCACGGCAAAGGCCCCGCCGGAGTCGCCCGGGAAGGGGGTCCGGGGAAGGCGGGAGCCGAGGCGAGAGGACGCCCACGAGCGGAGGGCTCCCTGGCCTCACTGCCGCCGCTGGCCGCCCCGGGGCCGCGCTGCTGCCCTCATGGCCCGCCGCCGGGCCTGAGCTCTGGCCCCTGCCTTTCCTCGCCTCCGGCTCCTCGGCACTATTGTCCAGGCCCAGCGAACCCGGCCGCCCGAGGGGGCCGTGCAGCGCTTCGCAGCCTCCCGCCCCGCCGCGCTAGGAACTCGCAGCGCCGTTCACTGCCCTGCTCCCGCCTCCGCCATGATCTCTGTGAAGCTGCTTCCCGCGCTGCCTCCTCCTCAGGCCGCCGACGCCATGTTTTCCTTCCTTATACCTGGCCCTGCCTCCGCAGCCGGGGACTGCGCTCCGCTTCCCTGCTTCAAATGTCCGAAGCCGACCGGCACCTGGTCCTGCTGCAGCTGCCACCACTACGCGGGAGACTCCGAGAGCCCCCTGGCGCACGAGCGCTCTTGACTACTGGGAGTCCCTTTCCTTCCGCCGCTGCCGCCGCCTCTTTCATCGCCTCTTCCGTCTTCCTCACAGAGTCAAAGCCGCTGCCATCTTGGTTCGCCCCTCAATAGCGGCGCGCGGGGCCACCCCCGTAGCAGCTTCCGGGACGGCCCATTGGCCCCACCATTTAAAGAGACAGGAGTGAAGCCTCGAGTCTCGCAGCGACGGAGGCCTCGGACGGAGACCTTGTTATCTGGGTTTTAAACGGACTCTGTCGGGTGGAATTAGGAGACACACCTCCTCACCTTTGAACTATTTACGTAAGCTGAGTTCTTTCTGGGGGAAAAGATGGAAACCCCACCATTCAATAAGGGTTCAGACAGACATTTTGGGCAAATCGAGGGTGAGGACCTCAGTGGAAGTCTTAGACTATTGAGAGCATAACCAAAACCGTGAGAAAGAATTCATTGGAAGACAGGAGGATGTCTGGCAGGTTAGGTCATGCTCAGGAACAGTACTCCATCTTGAAGAGGTTCCAGCAACAATGCAGAGGTCAAACCTTGGTTTGTGCATCCCAGGAGAAAGTGTATGTGTTAATAATTGCAACAAATGGCTGACTTTAGGACTCAAGCAAGTTTATTGTGGGACACTTTCTCTGAGTATAATACAGAAAGAATAGTCTCTACATGTTGCACAAGCATCAGTGCCATCTCTTGGGAGCCTGACAACTGACTGATTACCCAGTTTGGAGCACATGTGTTAGGAGAAGAGTTCCATCTCAGAGTGATGCCTCTGAGAGATTTTTGAGGCTTGAAGCTGTGGGGTTTTGGCCTGACTGTAGTGGCTAGCTATAAATAACGGCAGACCCCTGATTCTTCCCGAAAATTCTTGAGGAGAAATGACTTCCTGCAGTTAAGGAGATGAAACAGGTAAATTCGAAATTCTTTTTATACTTTTATATGGAAGTTTGCAATCTCACTGGGAGATAGATAAATGATATGATCTCCTTGATAGAGAGAGTATCTGTATCACTTTAAAATATGTTGCTGATCTCAGAACACACACCCTCTGGTGGCCAAGACACTTTTAAGGCTCTGGTATAGCATAGGAGCAGAAATGTTTGGCTCATAGGATCTTAGAGGAGGTATGATTTACTCCATGGGTGTCCAGCCAGTTGGAGTCAGGCAGTGCCCAGTCCAACCCTGATGCAGAAAGGGATATCTTCACAAAGACTTTGTTGAACCAATGTGATAATATCCTCTAAGTTGTTTCCCAGTTAAGGCTCCCCACCTCATATTCTTGGAAACCTAACAAAGGGGAAGCAGGAGAGATTGTGCTGTTATTTGCAGGGTTTTTGTCTTATTTTTTAATGTTATAAATAGGCTATTGTGAGAAAACATTCTAAATTATCTAGATTTTCTGTATTAGAGAGAGGATACACTTCATCTTTCCTAATCAACGTGATCATTTATAGGGAAGGGTCTGTATAACCAGCCCCAGCAAGGACACCTTCAGACTCTAGCAGATGGATTCTAAACTAATTAGTTGGGAATGAAAACATCTATAGCAAATGCATTATGTAAATACAGGCCATTTAAGATTACCCTGTCTTGAAGAGATAAAATTAGATACTTAGCAGAGAAGGGGGAGGTTGGGAGCAGATTAGAGGTTCATTTAGATTATATTTTGTTATTAGTTCTCCTTATCATTAACATCTGGCCTCTGTAGCTATAAATTATAAATATTCCACAGGTATTAGATCAAGTTTTCAACTGATTTTAGAAGACTGATTTATATATGGCCACAGAGCAGGTAACATCTGAGGCAGAATATGATTATAAACTGAATGGAGTTAATATTTGAGGGAAAATGTATAATTAGTTGAAGGTCCCTGCAGATTCACCAGTGTATTTCTATATTTTTCTTTCAAGTTCATTTGAAAATAAAATCTATGATGAGCTTACTTGACCAGTTTTGAACACTTTCATTTTACTACATTAAAAAGAGAGTATTTGCAATGGTTTTGTAATGCGCTGATGAGGCTGAACTGTTTCCCTAGGTATTTCCGGTTAGGGTAAGCCACAGGAGAGATTCTTGCTCAAGGCTGGTAGGGTGGAAGTGAAGCAGTAACCATTTGGTAGCTCACAGACATTGCTGCTTATCCTCTGGTTCACATTGTTGAAACCAACTGCTCCACCTTCCCCCAGGTCTTCTTTCAGTTTCTCTTACTCTTGGGCAAGGTGTGTGTTTAGTTCTGCAACCAAGAGCCCCAGCTTCTGTAGGATACCCCTGTCACCAACACCAGAGGCAGCAAGAAGAAACCTGGGTGTCAGTGCCTCTTTGTGGGAATCCAGCTCAGGCTGGTGAGTTCCAGTTCCGTCTTGTTCATCCCTACTCTATGTCCATCTTCCCTTCCTGACTACCCTGGGGACTTCAAGCTCCTTCATCAGACTTGGAGACCCCAACCTTACGGTGCCACAGCTTCCACAATCCCTGTATCAAATCCCTTCATACAAGTTGTTCTCAGTTGAGGGTAATTTTTTTTTTTTTGGTCACGCACAGCTTGCGGGATCTTAGTTTAGTTCCCCGACCAGGGATCAAGTCCATGCCCCCGCTGCAGTGGTAGCGTGGAGTTCTAACTGCTGGATGCCAGTGAATTCCCAACTGAGGGCAATTTTGACCCCCATAGGAAATTTGGTGATCTTTGGAGATGTCTTATCGTGACAGAAGTGAGGAGGTGGGAGGGGTAGGGAGGCAGGCATGAGAGTTGCTACTGGCATCTAGTTGACAGAGTTCAGGTACATGGCTAAACATCCTACTACGTGCAGGTCAGCACCCTGTGGCCCTTGTGCGCCGCCCCCCCGACCCCAACACACACACACATAGAATTATCCGTTGCAAAATGTTAATTTTGGAGGTTGAGAAACCCGTAGGGTTTGGACTGGATAATTCTTTATGAGGTAGAAGGTTCATAGGCTGTGGTTCTGTTTCAGATTGAACCCTAATTTTTTTTTTTTAAAGAAAAATTTTTAAAAAGAAATTTATATTTTATTTTTTGTGTGCAAACTGAAAGCTTTATTTATTTTTATTATTATCTTAAAAAACTTTTAAGCCTATTTATTTATTTAACATCTTTATTGGAATACAATTGCTTTACAATGGTGTGTTAGTTTCTGCTTTATAACAAAGTGAGTCAGTTATACATATACATATGTCCCCATATTTCTTCCCTCTTGCGTCTCCTTCCCTCCCACCCTATTTATATTTTATTTTTGGCTGCATTGGGTCTTTGTTGCTGAGCGTGGGCTTTCTCTAGTTGCGGCAAGCGGGGGATACTCTTCATTGTGGTGCACGGGCTTCTCATTGAGTTGGCTTCTCTTGCTGCGGAGCATGGGCTCTAGGCGTGTGGGCTTCAGTAGTTGTGGCACGCGGGCTCAGTAGTTGTGGCTCGTGGGCTGTAGAGCGCAGGCTCAGTAGTTGTGGTGCATGGGCTTAGTTGCTCTGCAGCATGTGGGATCTTCCTGGACCAGGGATCAAACCCGTGTCCCCTGCATTGGCAGGCGGATTATTAACCACTGCACCACCAGGGAAGTCCCAGAAGTCTAATATTTTAAAACAAATATTTTAGCAGTTTCCTCCTTGTCAGCAAAACTACATTTTCATTAAAGACCAAAAAGATGAAAACTTCCTTGGCTGTGCCATGTGGCTTGTGGATCTTAGTTCCCTGACTGGGGATCGAACCTGGGCCCTGGGAAGTGAAAATGCCAAGTCCTAACCACTGGACTTCCAGGGAATTCCCAAAAAGATGAAAACTTAAAAAAAAAATTATTTATTTAGTTTTATTTTTGGCTGCGTCAGGTGTTAGTTGTGGCAGACGGGATCTTTCATTGCAGTGCACGGGCTCTTCATTGTGGCGGTTGCGCTTCTCTCTAGTTGTGGTGCGCAGGCTCCAGAGCACAGGGGCTCTGTGGTTGCAGCATGCAGGCTTAGTTGCCCCTCAGCCTGTGGGATGTTAGTTCCCTGACCAGGGATTGAACCTGCATCCCCTGCATTGGAAGGCGGATTCTTAACCACTGGACCACCAGGGAAGTCCCAAAAGATGAAAACTTTTGAGGAACATACACAGCTATCAATCTCTGGTGATATATTTATAGCTATAGAGCACGGTAAGATCCTAACATTTATGAAACACATACTATATAGTAAAAATCACAAAAGTTCTCTGTCAAAGTGTTTTTCTCAAATTGAGAGACTTCTTTTTTTTTTTTTTTTTTTAAACAGCAGATGTTGGGTTTATAGGAAAATTGAGCAGAAAGTAGAGTTCCCATATATCCATATCCACATCGCCTCTCCAACTGAGTTTTCACTATTATTAACATCTCTGTTAGTGAGCATAAGTTTATCACAATTAACGAACCAATATTGATATGCTACTAAAGTTCATAGTTTACATTAGGGTTCATTCTGTGTTTGTATTTGTCT